GGACGATAACTTAGCGCCTTTTCACCGGAATCGAATGAGATTAGCTCGGAAACAGCGTCATCATGAATGTTCCAGTGAAGCTAATCGACAGCTGGTCAAGAGGAATCCGCGTCGTCTTTTGGTTGAATCAACCTTACCAAACACTTTCACTCGAAATAGAAGTAAGCTCACCAATTATGAAAGAAGAGATTCCTCGAAACCCAACTTTTCTTCGTATAGGAATGAAAAGACAACAAATGTTGTTGATATTTCATAAACTGGAGGAGTAGATTTCATATAATGTGTTTGATTATAGAATTTTACGAGTATATTTAATGGCCAAAAATACAGAGTAAATCTTTTTAGAAGCTGTTTCGCCTTGTTTTCGCAATTTGCTTCTAATATCAGGAAGACCTAGCGGAATACACCTCCTCCAGAGTCTATAGTATGCATGATAATTTCCAGAGCCGGACCATTTACAGACGCTTCATTGGCATCTCCAGTGTCTTAATATTTTTAGCGCCGTACTACAACTCGTCAAAGGGACTTTTTCAAAATCGAGGCCTTGTTACTCTTCCTTGATCTAAGGATAAAAGTGCCCAATATCTTCAGTAATCCAGTGAAAACCACTTTCTGTCTATCTAAATTAGCGTAAATAAGTTCATTGTCGCCAAATAAATTGTAAGCTGTTAATGTGCTAAAAGGTAGTGATGTAAAGCACACTCTTTTTTTACTTGTGGTTTGTTTCGTTAAATCCAAAATATGTACAATAAAAAGGAAATAAAATGCAAAATTAAAAAGTATGCCATTAAGTGAATAAAATTCTTGGCAAATTCAATTAGCAGTTAAAATAGATTGCGATTAAAGTCATAAATAAATACTCATAAGGACCAAGCTCAATACTAAATATAGAATAAATAGCTACCAAAAAGTGCTAACCCAACATGGTTTATGCATTTGGCCAAAATAAGTGTTAGTTAGCTGTACCTTATGTAGATTACTGTTAGGCGATGGCAAGCGTCCAAACTGAGTTATCTGTTCGCCCTGGGCATACGTGTCCAAAAGTGATTTTGTGATGATACAGGCTTGATTACAATTTAGGTCAATTGGTTGGCCGTGCTGCTGCACAGGATGACACTTGATGTCATTTTTATCCGAACTTCCCAAAGATCGGCTATGCAAGAAACGAGGCGCGGTAGTTAATTTAATCTGAGATTCAGAAAGGATCTGGTGAGGTCTTAAAGGGGCAACACCAGAAGTTGGGCACGATGCTGTAGAAATGCTCTGGAAGACGCCGACGGGCGAATAAGACGTGCCAACTGGATCCTTAGCAGACACCTCAGAGTCGGCGCCAAAATGGCCAGATCCGCAATTCTTTCGCTTTCTAGTCTGAGTAAAGGGGAGGGAAGCATAAACGTAATTCTGGAGCAATATGTTCATGAGGATAGTCAGGTAATAGATAGTTATCCTTAGCCATAAGTTAACCAATTTATAAGAACCAGAAAACGTGCTTTGCTGGAATAAACATATGGTTGCCAATGGTGAAATGAGCATATTATTCATTTTCGATCACTGATAAAAAAAGGTAAAATTATAAGTTCGATGACGATATAAAAAATTGGCTGCTACATAATGCAGTCTAATGGTAGGAGGGCAAGCAAAACTAAAAAAACATAATTTATGCTAAGATCTATTCTTTTAGTCAAAAGGAAATTGATTCGGAAAAAAGTGGACCTATAGTTCATATATAAGCAGTCTCGAGACTACCTTTAAATTAGTAATATGAGATATATTCACCCTATTTCATTTGAGATGATAAAAGACTGAATGAGGATAACTTTTGGGAAAGCAAGGCTATGTGAAATTCAATCGAAACAAAATAGGGTGAAAACATCTCATATAAAAGTGAACTTGTTGCTATATGAGCCAAGTCAATATGGTTTTAGGAAATGAAATTGTCCCTAAAAAACACTCAGTCGTATGCATGTAAAAAAGTGGATTCCGAAGAATCCCTTAATAGATGATGGATTACATTTAATGTCGTTTAAGGAGGCAAGTAAAGGGGATTCGTGAGTTGGCTTCACTAGATGTTGTAGGGGGATGATTGCCAGGGTGCTGTGACTGTAGATTTGTGCGAATAGGTTCACTGCGAACAAGCCTGCGACTCTACAGCTGTTCAGTCACAAATGCATCAGTTTCACGCTTCATCTTCACTTCTCAGCCAACATTTCGAGAAATCACAGGGTACCCATCCAAATCATGGTGTGTATCATTAGGTGGAAAAGCGTAAGCTGTAAGAATTAGGTAGGACTACAGTCAGCGACATTTATTGTCTGTATGCTTAGTGAATTATCAAAAAGAATAGTGTCCTCCACTGACGATGCCCGTCACATGACGGAGGAAAGCTCAATACAGATTCATCGGGATCGCAGTGCGATGCGCAGAGGGCCTATTCGCACAAATCTGCATTGTAGCTACAAAGGGTAACTGAGTTCAAATTAATATGCTGAAATAGCATTGTTGGAGAGATTAAGATTTTATATGAAATTGAATGAACAAGAGTTTTGAAGGTCGATCTCACAATAAGAAGACAATTGATTTGCGTCGTACTGCAGCCGTTTGGCTTTAATATAACGTTCAGATTGGCACAGTCTACGAGACATCCTCCCTCGTTTCGGGTGAAAATGGGCTGAGCTTTCGTCTATCACATGATGGACATCATCAGAGCTAAAACTCATTCGTGTAAAAGTCTCACGTAAGCATTGGGTCGAGAATGCCATCCGACTCTATCTTATCTCTTATATAGACTCAATTAAGCAAATGAAAATTAATAAGCGTATATAAAATGGTTTTGACTAATTAGCTTTGCATTAATCCTGTTATATTTACTGGTGTGTCTGTTAACGTCTATACTCAATGCCGGTCCTAAATCAATAATCAAAATATATGGAATCTTTTCTAAATTTTATTTCCAACTTTAGTTACAAAACTAAGGTTGAATTTCTGAAGTCAGGGATTATTAGGAATATGAGACTATCGGATAGCAGCCATTTGACTAAAAAGTTAGAACAGCTGAGAGATCTATTCCTGGGAAATAATTATCCTTGGACTTAAATGTTAATAATATCTCTTTACTAAGGGATACAATTCGATACGGAGACTATTAATTCAAAGACAGAGAAGCTAAGAACTTTTCTCATGTCATAATTTTGCCTTCATGTCTTCGTTCTATGAATATAGGCGAATTAGTGATTAAGTGGAAAATATAAAAGGTATTCAAAGAAACCTTCACATTTTCTTCTATTATGTCATCTTTTAGAGAGAAATATGATCCATTATCTAGATACGGCTGCTACAAAATTATATGCGCCTGTAGTGATACATGGAGGCACGTTTAACAAAGACTAGGGGAACACAAAAAATGCCTTTAAAAGGTGATGAGTCCAACGCTCATTCACAAGGCAGAGACTGAACATGAGATAGAATTGACTCAAACGAGTAGTTTCGCTTATTATAGTACGTCTGCAATGAAAAGGAAGATAAGAGATGAAATTGGCATTAATAGATTAGGGAATACTTTGTATGTGAGGAACGGTGGTAGAAAGTTAAGTAAGAACTACTTATCGAAGATATAAAGACCAAGATGGTGTGGAAATGATGATGCATACAATGGACTCCGGACTAGATGCGTTCCTCTAAGTCTTCCTACCAATATGACCAAATTGCGAAAACAAGGTCAAACAACTTCTATAAGGACTACTTATACTTGATTGATAGAATGAAAGAGAGGTGTTGAGCCGCTATTCTTGGGTATTAAAACCCTAGCGACCCTAGATTAAGAGGTTAGGATAGGTCGTTTCGTCCTTGCACACCTACCTGCTTACATCTCATAACCTCAAAGATACTTGCTTACGGACTTACGCAGTCTCGGTCATGGATTTTTTTGGACAATAAGCTTTGATGACCAGAGCCTGACATTAGCCTTTTTTGATCACTCAGATTTAGAACCAGTATTGCGTATAGGCACTAACACATACACACACACATATACTCGAGCGTCAACCAGGGCTTTTGCCTAGGTTATTAAGCCTTGATAACTAGAGGCTGACATTAGCCTTTTTGACTCACCCGAGTTAGGACTGGTATTGGGTATAGACGTTTACACACATACACAGGCACACGCACACATGGACACACATACACTCGAGCAAAGGTAGCAGGACCAATATGAAAGATAATTAGCCAAGCCATTATATATCTACCTATACCTATTAATTTTATTTTTTTAATAGAGTCTATGTAAAAGGTAGCGGTAGAACCGAATAACGTTCTTGGCTTAGTGTTAACGAGAGACTTTTACATGAATGAGTTCCAGCTCTGATTATGTCCGTCATTTGATAGACGAGAGCTCAGCCAGTTTTCACCTGAAGCGAGGGTCCTGTAGACTGCGTCGACCGGAACGTCGTATTAAAGCCAAACAGCTGAGGTACAACGGAATCAGCCATCCTCTTTTTGTGAGACCAATCTACGAATCTATCCTGTATGAGCTTTCATATGAAATTAGAGGCTCACTAACACAGATCTACAATTAAAGCAATTACAAAGCAATCCCGCTACAGCTGTTTTAGTTTAAGGTATAAGTTTTAGTGATATAGAAGGTTGCTAAAGGTATGTACTCTGCTCCATGCCACTGTGTAGAGTACACCGACCTTGTAAGGAGAAGCAAAAATGAGTCACGAAGTAGCTTGAATAGGACAAGAAACATTACAGGTAGGTATTCAGAGTATAAAGACAAAAAGATTCAGCATCGGTGCGAGAGAGCAGTGTTCGGACACAATGGATCACAAAGGACAAAAAAGTAGTAGAATAACAGTCGGAAGTCCAGAGTATTTCCAACCTAAACTACCTTAAATGCCATTTTCTCAATTGTTTAAGAGGAAGACTCAATGCGACGACTAAATGTGCTTAGTCACCGCCAGACAGTGTGATGATATGCCATGCGCTGAGTAGTGTTGCGTATATGTGGAGATTGCTGCTCATTAGCTGGTTGTAACTACAACTACAACAAAATTTGGTCTGTGCTGTACAAGTAATTGCATGCTAATTGATTATGGTCCCATCAAATTCGTCAATAATTCGACAAATCATAGAAGACTTAAATTTGATTCGTTATAATAAATAATAAAAATGAAAGCAATTAATGCCTAACCAATTATCATATAGTTTTAATTGAGAGTAATCTATGTTTACTGCTTTGGAGAGCTTGCTATATTGTATGATAAGATTGATAGAGCACTAACTCGTTAATATTAAATTACCCATATTTTCCTTATCATAAATTAGTTAGCTAAATAAATGGACAAAATAAACATAGTAAGAGCCAGTGTGTACAAGAGATAGCTTAGAGGCCTAAAAACTGGAAAAATATGCCCTCTATTTATAGGGGATACATTAATTTCGAAAGATCTGTGGATTAACTTAAAAGGTTTCTTTGATCAGATTTGTCTAAGGACGAAGTATATGCTAATCATTTTTCCGAGCTTTAGAAAATGTGGTAAAATCACAAATTTGCATATGAAGTAACTGATTTTGCGAGCAACCACTAAAAAACTAGCTAGCAATAAAAAAAAATAAACATCAACAATTCTGCCTCAGAAAATAATCATAAGATAGAAGTAAAAAATAGCCATCCCTAAAAATTACATTGGTTAGTGAAAACTGTGTTTGATAAAAGATTTCGAAAAGTATGAAATAGCGCTCAATGAGTAGTACCACACAACAGATAAGTCAGGAAAAAGATTAGTCTTAAACAAATTAATCGAAGGTATGAAGACCAAGATGATGTTAAATTTTTTATGGTCGCAGCCTCCTTTTGTTGGATAGAAATAGTTTGACCTTGTTTTCGCAACTTGGTCATATTGGTGGGAAGACCTAGAGGAACGTACCTAGACCGGAGTCCATAGTATGCATAATAATTTTCAAAGGCGGAACCTGGACGTGGTACATTCCCATCGTCAGCATCGTCAGTGAGTCTTGCCATTCTTAGCACCACACTACAACTCGTCAAAGAGACAAGTAAACCGAACCTTTGATCAAATTTGTGCTAAACAGTGGTGGTATCTCTCCTTTTGCTCTGGGCTATTCACCTATCCAATACCCTCGGATCCCGCCTTCACTATCACAATTGTTTCATTGCATATTTAAATGTGGTATATTGTGTCCTTTTTTAGCGGATTTTATGAGAACTCTCAAAACCTCACGGTGGCTTTCTCACCCCGTCAACCCGCAATCCTATTCCATAGGTCTTATAG